GGCCCAGAGTGGCCACGCGTGGCCAATGCGGCCTGCGCCGCAGCGTGGGCGCTCCCTTCGCGTCGTCGCGTCACCTCTCCGTCAGCGTCAAGCGCAGCAGCGGCTGAGTCTTGTGCTGTGCGCGCACGCGCAACGCGCCGCTTCGCGATGGCCGAAGGCGCGCCGGAGACCCTTCGCGCTTTTCTCGAGCGCGTCGAGGGGGCGGGCGCGCAGGAGGCCGCCTGGTTCGACTCGGTCGCAGCGGCGCTGGCAGCCGAGAGCATCACTGTGCCCTCAGAGCTGGCCGGGGCCAAGTTTGAGGACTTCCGCTTCCAGAGTGCCGATCTGGATGGCGGCGAGAAGCGCTGCGTCCGCGCGGCCATCAAGATGGCCGGGCGCGAGAAGGTCGGCGTTCCCGCGCAGCGCGAGCGGCGCGCGCGGGCACGCTCGCGCGCAGGGGGATACAAAGGACCAGCAGCAGGCGGCCGCGGGATCGGCCAGCGGGGGCGCCAGCGCCGCCCTCCTCGCGTTTCTCCAAAAGAAGGGCGAGGCTCGCCGACGCGACAGCGCGCGCCCGCCGCCGCGTGACGTCGCGCCCGTCGCGTCGCAGGCGCCCGCGGCGGCCCGCGTGGACATTTGGGCCGCGCTCGAGACCGCGAGCCTCGAAGGCTTGCCCAGCGACCTCCTGCCCGGGCGACGCGCGGCGCGCCGCGGCGGGGCGCGCGCGCCATTTTGCGCGTGACGCTTGCGGCGTAGCTCCGACCTCGTTGGTGAGCTTGCCAGCGAAGTGGCCAAGCTGCGGAAGCGCGGCATCGAAAAAGGCTTCGTCAACGTGAAGCTAGCCAGGTGGCTGCCGCGGCATCTCGCCGGGGCGCTCCGCGATGCCGACGAAGACGAAGCTAAACTTTCGGAGGGCCTGAAAAACTTGGCACAGGCGCGGCGCCTCATAATCGCGTGCGCTCGCGCCCCGCCGATCGTCTCGCGCGAGGCCATGGGGGCGAAGGCGTCGCCCAAGCGCGTAATGATGACGCTCAGCCAGTTTCACCTCGCGTGGAGTCGCTACGCGGTCGGTGCCCGCGCCGCTGGCCAGCTGAGCTACGCCGCGGCCGCAGCCCATCGCGACGTCTGCATGGCGGTGGGCCTCGGGGCGGCCCGCAACAAGCGGCGGGTGCAGCTCGCGGTCAATTATGACGAGCAGGCCCGCAAAGATTGGGCGGAACGCTCGCGCTCTGGCGACCCGACTTTCGTGGCCCGCGCGCGTTTCCTCGTGAATGTGTTTCCGCGCCGCGTCGGCCCCGTCGGTTGCGCGCAGGCAGATCGCGCGGCGAAGCGCGTGGACATCGCGATCTTGAGTCGCGCAGAGGAGGCCTACGATGCCGACGATGCCGTCGGCTGAGCCGTCGGCAAAGGGCGGCAACAAGGGCGCCCGGGCTCCCACGTCGCGTCGGCCCAGGCGGGGCAACAGCATTCTTTCGCGCAGCGCGATCGCAGGTGGCGACGGGCAAAACCGCCGCGGGGAAGGGCCACGGCTCCGCGAGCGGTGGCAAGAGCGCGCAATGGTCGGGGAAGCGCTGGAACAGCTGGGGCTCGGCGGGCGATCACCGCGGGCACAGCTGGGGCGCGGCGGATCGCGGCGGGGGGGGGAATCGCAGGCCGCGCGCGCCCCCGAAGGCCGCCAAGAGGGCCCGCCCCTAGCGCCGCAGCTCCTGGGCGCAAAAGGAGCAGCGGGCGCGCAGAGCACGCGGTCGCGCGCGGGCTCGCGCGGTGTCAAGAGTGACAGCGCGGGGGCCGAACAATAGTCGGCGCGCGGTGCATGCGAATTTAGCCGAGCAATAATCGGCGCGATGCCTCCTCAATCTTCGCAACCTTCGCAAAGCAATGCGGCGCGTTGCTTGGCCTGGTGCGCGCCGGAATTGCGCGGGCACTTAAACAGCCGACAGCTCGGCTCGCGCGCTTCATCATATCGCAGCGGCCGCCGCAGACGCGGCTTGTTCCTCGCGCTCGCGTTCAGGTCCGTTGTTCAGCTTTCGCTGCGCTCCGACGCGTTCGAGGCTACTTTGTTCGTCGCGTCTATTTGCAATGCGAGGGCGGCTACCGCCGCCTCCACCAGCGCCGCCGTCGGGGCGTGTTCCTGCGCCGCCAGCTCCCCCAGTGTGGCGGCGCTCACGGTCTCGCGGCACGTCCTCGACGAAAGCCCCCGCGCGCATCGCGCGGCCGCATTGTCGCATGTCGCGCTCCGCTTTGCAGGCGGCGACCGACTGGACCGCTCGTGCGCCTCGCCAGGTGGGCGCTGACGATGTGGGGAAGCTACAATTCGTCGACGACGCGTGCCGTGATCAAGTCGATTTCGAGCCAGCCGTTGACGTCAGCGCAGACGTCTGGGCCGCAGTGGACTGGGTGAATGCGCGCCAATCGGACCAGATTAATGCCGAACGCGAGCGCTTCATCTGCGACATTGAAGCTGAGGCGCGGGCGCTGCACGCGTCGGGCGACGTGGCCCGCTGGCATGTAGGGGCCGATGCAGGCGCGCGCAAGGTGGCGACTGGCGTCAACGGCCCGTTAATGGAAGCGCTCGCCGCTCGTACCGATTTCCAGGACGCCGCGTGCATCGAATTCTTTCGCCGCGGCGCGCCAGCGGTGGGCCCGCTTCCAGTCTCGGGAAGCGGCGTGCCTGTGCAGCGTCCCGACGCGCAGCTGGTCTCAATCGTGCTAGGGCGCCGCTCAAGCCAACCGCGCGTTGCTGGCGTCCTTCAAAGAGGGCGCTCATTCCGCGACGCTGCTGCAGCAGTCTTTCAAAGAAGCGCGCGTGGGTCGCGTGACCCAGCCTGTCGCGGCTGAGCAGGCCGACCGTCGTGCAAACGTATTGTCGCCGCGCTTCGGGGTTGTGCAAACGCGGTCCAATGGCGACATACGCGTTCGGGCTGTTGACGATCTAACTCGCGCGAAAGTAAACGGGTGCACCTCGGCAGGCGAGAAGTTTCGCCCCGAGTCCATCGATGCGCTGTATCGCGTGGCGAGGGGCGTGGCGCAGGGCACGCGCGAATGCATCATGTTCTACAGAGCCGACGTACCGTACAGCGACAAAATGTTGCACCACGTTTGCTGGGCATTGGCACCTGTACTGCGTTGCTCTTGCCCCCCCCTTTCCCCCCGATCTTAATATTGGGTGCATGGCGAAGAGCCCCTGTTCCGCCCGGGGGCTCCCGACAAAATGTTGCACCGCCGAGCTGTTTCGACCAGCCCGGGTCCGAACCCAATATTAAGATCGGGGGGGAGGGGGGGGGGGAACACACGATTGATACGACAGCGATGCGATTTATTTCCAGCGCCAGGTGGTGCACCATTTTGTCGATGTACCGTTTGGGATTGAACACGTTCGACGTTTCCATCTTACGCCCAACGCCTCATCAAGGGAGGTGAGTGGAGTGATGAGGGGAGGAGTGAGACGAGGCGGAAGAGCAGGAGAGGCAGGAGGAGGAAGAGGAGCATAATGAGGACGAGGACGAGGACACGGGAACGAGGACAAGGACGAGGATGAGGATGAGGAGGATGAGGAGGGGGAGGAGCACGAGGAGGAGGAGGAGCAGGAGGAGCAGGAGGAGCTGGAGGAGGAGGAGGAGGAGGAGGAGGTGGAGAGAACTGGAGCAGGGGTACGAGGATCGTGGAATGCGAGGTGGAGGGGAGGAGGAAGGTCGTGCGAGGATCTTGGATGGAGGTGCGATGAAGGATTCGTGATCGAGGACCGAGGTTCGATTGACGATCGAGGATTGAGATTCCTTCGAAGATCGAGGTTTGACGGAGGATCGCGGATGGAGGTTCGATCGACGATCGAAGGTCGAGGTGTGAGGGGGGATCGAGGATCGAGACTGGAGCTTGATCGAGGATTGAGGGTCCAGGTTCGTTCGAGGATCGAGGATCGAGGTTCGACGTTACATCAAGAATGGAGGTTCGGGGGATGATCGAGGGTTGATAGAGGATGGAGGGCGAGGATGAGGATGAGGCAGAGGAGCAGGAGGGGGAGGAGGAGGAGGAACTGGAGGAGGAGGAGGAGGAGGAGGAGGAGGAGGAGGAGGAGGAGTGGGAGGGGACGGGCCAGAGGGACGAGGATTATGGGATGCGGGGTGCAAGGTCGTGCGGAGGATCGGCCAGGAGCGGCAACACCAGCGCCCCTTCCCCCTAGAAGTTTCGGGGTGCTGGATGTTTCTAGGAGGAATCCTTGCGTCCATCGGCGCCGATACGTTCCTGCGGATCGTGCGGATGCGGTCTCCGTCTCCACAGGGGGGCACAGGGGAGCGTCGATTGACTATTGAATTTCAGCCAGAATGGACTCTATGCGTGTGGTGTAAGCTATGCTGAGCAATCTCAGTGGTGCAATCTATGCGGTGCAGTCTATGTGGTGCAAGCTATGTTAAGCTAATTATTGTGGTGGAATCGATGTGGTGCAATCCACCTTACAGTGTCAGCGATCTACGCGGTGCAATCTATGTTCAGCAGACGAGGGGCGGCGACGGGCAGCGACTGGCGGTGACAGGCCGCCACGAGGCGGCGGAATGGGCCACCGTGCCCACGTCTCTCGCGGAGAAGTAAGACCCCCGAGGTGCAAGCATTGTTTGGGGAAGGAACAGAGTAGGACGGACCATGGCCAGGTGAAAGGGAAAGTTCGTTGCCACTGCAGCCCGCGAGGTCGTTGCCCAAGTGGCCAACGATGCAGCCAATGAGGCAGTCGACACGGCAACACACGAGGCACCTTAGCAGGCTGCCAACGAGGCAGTCAACAAGGCAGCAAACGAGGCAGCAAACGAGGTAAACACCGAGGCAGCCAACCAGGCAGCCAGCGAGGCAGCCAACAAGGCAGCAAACGAGGCAAGTGACGAGGCAACCACCCAGGCAGCAGACGAGGCAGCAACCGATGCGAACAACGAGGCGGCCGACCCCACAGCAGATTCGGCAGCCAGCGGGGCAATGCAGGGGGTGGCGGTGCCAGGCGCTCACTTTCCGAATGCCCTGAGTTGATGCGAGTCCCGATACATCCGCGCAGCAATCCGTCCTTTAAGACCCGCGTGCGGCGCCCCGCCCGGCCGTGTATCCCCGCGCGCCGCGCCCGCCGCCCAGCCATGCCCGGGGCGCCGATGACCGCGGAGGAGATTCGCTTGGCCCAGGAGTGGCACACCAACGGCGACATGGCGCCCAGCGACATCGCGGCGAATCTGCAGCGCGACAAGTCCTCCATCACCCGCCTCATCAAGGACAACTTTCTGAAGAAGACCACTGGCCGTAAGAATGTCCTCAGCGAGGCTCAAGTGGCCAATCTCATCAGCCACCTGGAGAGGGTGATCAAGAAGGCCAACGGAGAGTACGAGGTGACCTGGCACATGCTGAAGACCAGTTCGCGGTGCAAGGCCTCGGAGGCCACCATTGCGCGCGGGCTCCACGAGAACAGGTTCGAGCAGTTCACGGCCGACGGCGTGCCCTTGACCAAGGCGCAGCTGCGCACCGTGCCGCCCTGCCGGGAGAACTGGTGCAAGTGGCTCGTCGCCACCGCCACGGCGTTCGCCAGTGGGGCGCCGGCCGCCCCGCCGCAGCCCCCGCCGCAGCTCCGCCCCGCGGGCGGCGGCGCCGCGGCCGTAGAGGTGGAGGGGTTCTTGGCCCTGACGCGCCGCGTCTCCATCCCCGATGACCTCGCGAACACCTTGCACGACGGTGCCCTGGCCGTGGGGGCGGCCAGTGTCTCGGAGCTAACGGCGGACGATTGGGCGGCCTTGCCGTCGTGGGCGAGGTTGCTGCCCTTGCAGCAGAGACGGGTGCTGTCTGCGAGTGCCGCGCCGCCGCTGCCACAATTGAGGTGTTAGACACATTTTAGTTTGCAGAAGTTAAATAGCGGCCCGCGTCTGCAGGCCGAACCGCGCCGTTGGCTCAAGATTCGTGTTTGTGTTCATGACTGTCACCAAATCACCGCCATCGTGATCAACATCATCGTCATTGCACGCCGTAGCAGTCATCAGTTGCGAATGAAAGGGGCGGGGGCCAGGAAGGAGGGAGAGGGGGGCAGAAAGCGGATCTACGAAGTCGCGTTTCCTCAGGCAGTCCGCTTTGGGGAGGAGTGCAGGGCAACAGGGAGTCAAGTGGCGTGGAGCGACCATGACGACGACGACGACGACGAGAACGGCGACGACGAGGACGGCGACGACCACGACGACGACGACGACCGCGACCGCGACCGCGACCACGACCGCGACCGCGACCACGACGACGACGGCGACGACGACGACGACGACGACCAGGACGACGACGACAGCGACGACGACCACGACGACGACGACGACGACGGCGACGGCGGCGACGAGGACGACGACGACGACGACGGGGACGACGACGACGACGGGGACGACGACGACGACGACGACGACGACGACGACCACGACCACGACCACGACGACGACGACGACGACGACGACCGCGACGACGACGACGACGACGACGCACTCCTCAGCACTCCTCGGCACTCCGCCGCACTCCTCGGTATCTTTCGGCAATCCTCGGGACTCCACGGCACTCCTCGGCACTTTTCGGCACTCCTCGGCATTCCTCGGCACTCCTGTCTGCACTTTTCGGCACTCCTCGGCACTCTTCGGCGCTCTTCGGCACTCCTCGGCAATCTTCGGCACTCCGCCGCACTCCGGCACCTTTCGACACTCCTCGGCACTTTACGGCAGTCCTCGGCACTGTTCGGCACTCCTCGGCACTCCTCGGCACTCCTCGGCACTCCTCGGCACTCCTCTGCAATTTTCGGCACTTCTCGGCACTCTTCGGCACTCCTCGGCAATCTTCGGCACTCCGCCGCACTCCGGCACCTTTCGACACTCCACCGCACTCCTCGGCACTTTTCGGTACTCCTCGGCACTCCTCGGCACTCCTCCACTCCTCGGCATCCTTCGGCACTCCTCCGGACTCCTCGGCACTCCTCGGCACTTTTCGGCACTCCTCGGCACTCCTCTGCATTTTTCTGCACTCTTCGGGGCGCACTCCTCGGCATTTTCTGGCACTCCTCGGCACTCTTCGGTATTCTTCGGCACTTTTCGGCACTGCTCGGCCGACGCGTGCCCTGGCCCTCCGACGGCGACGGCGGCGACGATGGCGACGGCGGCGGCTATGGCGACGGGGGCGGGGAAGACGACGACAACGACGACGACGACGACGAGGACGACGACGACGACGAGGACGACGACGACGACGCCCAAGACGACGTGGACAAGGACGAGACGAGGACGATGACGACGACGATGACGACGTATGCTGGAGGGTGTGGTCGGGCTCCCGGCGGCAACCGTCATGCTGATCAGAGTGAGGGGGTCTCCTTCCATCGCCCCTCCTTCCCCCGCACTCCACTGCGTCAGAATTCCATCCTCATGACATTGCGTTGCATTGCGTTGCGCTGCATTTTATGGGTGGGCTTGGCACGACACTGCAACATATAGCATAACAGTTTATAGTATCGTATCGCATTGAAGAGCATTGCATGTCATTGCCTCGCGTGGCAAACTATTGCGTTGCATTGCATGGCATTCTATAGACATCGCATTGCATAGAAAGGGTACCGGACCACCGCGCACCGTGCCGTGCAGCGACAAAATGTTGCACCACGTTTGCTGGGCATTGGCACCTGTACTGCGTTGCTCTTGCCCCCCCCTTTCCCACCGATCTTAATGTTGGGCGCGTGGCGAAGAGCCCCTGTTCCGCCCGGGGCCCCCCGACAAAATGTTGCACCACCGAGCTGTTTCGACCGGCCCGGGTCCGAACCCAATATTAAGATCGGGGGGGGGGGGGGCGCACGATTGATGCGACACCGATGCGATTTATTGTCAGCGCCAGGTGGTGCAACATTTTGTCGATGTACCGTAGACTCGGCCTTCCGTAGGCTGCCCGCCATGCCGATGCATCGCCGGTTCCTGTTCTTCGTTTTCCTCGCGCAGGGCGTTGCCCATGTGGCAGGGCACCTGGCCGTGCCCTTCGGCGCCGTCGCGTCCGTGCATGCGTGGGAGAGGGTCGGCGCGCTCATTTCGCACCTTGTGCGTCGCCCACTGTTCATTCCGATGCTGCGTTTCGTCGATGACCTCTTTGGCGCCGAGCGCGCGGCATGCGCCGAGCACGCGCTCGAGTGCATCGTGCGGCTCGTGCGCTGCATCCTCGGCCCTTCTGCAATCGCGGCGGGCAAAGTCGCCGCGGGCATGCCGCCTGTCGCCCTGGGCCTTCAGGTCCGCGCAGACCGCGGCGGTTTCTCGTGCACCCCCTCGCCCGACAAGGTCAAGAAGTGGCGCGGTCGCATTGGCGACGCGCTCTCCTCGGGCGTTTGGCGGCCGGGGGACGCGGCAAAGCTTGCGGGCGCCCTGATGTGGGCATGCTCGGGCATGTTCCATCGCGTAGGGCGCGCGCTCATCCGGCCCTTGTTCGCCCACTCGAAGCAGCGCGGCGTGGTGGCGCCGCAGCAGCTGCGCGTCGCACTCGAATGCTGGATCTCTGCGAGACCCGTGTCTGGGCACCAGACCAGCGCGAGACAACGCAGCTCCTTGTCGACGCGCGCAGCGCGCCGCCCCGCGTCGCGGCTGTGCTCTTCCTCGACGGGCGGGCCTCCTACTCCGATTGGGCTCCCTCCGATTGCGTTCTGCGCCATTTCAAGCAGAGGGGCGATGCGCAGATTATGTCCCGCGAGCTTCTAGCGATCGCGATTGGCCTTTCCACGTTCAGCGACGCGCTCGCGGGCAGGCGCGCGCGCCTCTGGTCTGACGACGTCGGTGCCGAGGCCGCCGCGCGGAAAGGCGCCTCCAAAAAGTGGGACTATGCGTGTCTCATCAATTCGTTGTGGCTGCAGGCGGCGCAATTGCGCGTCTCGCTCCGCGTCGACCGCGCCCCCTCGAAGCTTAACGTTGCCGATTTGCCGTCGCGGGGGCAGTGCTGGCTCTCTCGCGTGATCGGCGCTTCTTTCGTGCAGCCGCGTCTTAGCGAGGCATTCTGGAAGCCCGATGCCTGGGCACCTCTTTCGGCTGCGCGGGCGCCGCTGCGCCGCGCGTGAGCGACTGTCGGCCGACAGTTCGGCTTGCGCGCCAAATCCTGTTGCGTCGGCGTGCGTGTCAAAATGTTGTTTTATTCGTTTTCGCGTTGCGTCCGCGTTGGTCGCGCGTAGCGCAGCCGCTCCACGTGCGCTCGGCAGACAGGGCTCGGCGGCAGAAGGATTGCTTGGCGCGCGCCGACCGTCGAAACGGCAATGGCCGGGCGCGCCGCTTCCACGCGAGTCTTCCTGGAGAGAGCCGCAGGCCCTGGCAGGCGCGATGCGGCGTGGTTCGATGCGATCGCGGCGGCGCTCGCTGCCGAAAGCGTGTCGCGCCCGTCCGCGCTCGCTGGGGCCAAATTCAGAGACTTCCAGTTCCTGGGAGCGGACCTCGACGGCGGCCAAAAGCGGTGCATTCGGGAAGCTATCGCACTCGCGACAAGCGTTCAGGGCTGCGCATTTCGCGCCGCGAACCAGCTGCAGCGCGCCCGCGCGCGCGCAGGAGGTGGAAGACCAAGTCCAGAGGCCGGCGCCGGCGCGGGCGCAGGCCGTCGGGGGCGTTGCCGTCGAAGCTCTCCTCGAGTCAAGGGCTGCGGAGGCGCAGGCGGCCCGCGCGCCGCAGTGCGGCGGGGGCCCGCGTGCGGAGCTCCGCAATTTTTGCCAGTGGCTCGACAGCGAGGAAGGCCCAGTGTGCGTCGCTGAGTGGCTGTCTTCGGCGCGCACAGCGGCCCCCCTGGGCGCATGCCCGCGCTCCATCGCCTCTTTCAAGAGCGGCGTGGCAGCATGGTTCGCGTTCGCGCGCGAGGCTCTTGCGCTGCGCGGGCGCGAGCTGTCGCCGTCCGCTGACGGGTTGCTCGCGTGGTCGCTGCTGTTTCGCCCCGACCAGACTTTTTCCAATTATGTCTCTCACGTCAAGCTGGCTTGTCAGGTTTGCGGTCTCCCTGTAGACGTTTTTCGTGACGCGCCCCTTCGCCGCGCCAAATGCGCGATTCGCAAGCGCGGCGCTTTCCTGCCCAGGGCGCCTCTATTCATCAGGGAGGACGCAGTTTGCGCGCTGCTAAATCTGGCAAAAGAGCGGCACGAGTCCGCCGTCTTCGCGCAGCTTTTTTTTCCCCACATCCTGAGTGGGGTTCTTGTTTTCCCAGAACACCCTCTCCTTCCCACCCACCTCCCGCTCCATCTTCCATGCAGCACAATATTATTCCTACCACACACACCATACCATACCATAGTTCCTACCACACATACCATACCATACTATACCATACCATACCACACCATACGTACCATACCGTACCATACCATACCATGGCGTACCATAGCATACCATACCATATCACACCAACCCACCCCTCCAGGGAGGCCCCGCCTGAGCGAGGAGGGTATCGGAATGCCATACTATTTACATGGTTTCGTGCCCCTCCCACCCCTCCAGGGAGGCCCCGCCTGAGCGAGGAGGGTATCGGAATACTATACTATTTGCATGGTTTCGTGCCCCTCCCACCCCTCCAGGGAGGCCCCGCCTGAGCGAGGAGGGTATCGGAATACCATACTATTTACATGGTTTCGTGCCCCTCCCACCCCTCCAGGGAGGCCCCGCCTGAGCGAGGAGGGTATCGGAATACCATACTATTTACATGGTTTCGTGCCCCTCCCACCCCTCCAGGGAGGCCCCGCCTGAGCGAGGAGGGTATCGGAATACCATACTATTTACATGGTTTCGTGCCCCTCCCACCCCTCCAGGGAGGCCCCGCCTGAGCGAGGAGGGTATCGGAATACCATACTATTTACATGGTTTCGTGCCCCTCCCACCCCTCCAGGGAGGCCCCGCCTGAGCGAGGAGGGTATCGGAATACCATACTATTTACATGGTTTCGTGCCCCTCCCACCCCTCCAGGGAGGCCCCGCCTGAGCGAGGAGGGTA